CAGTGAAACATGTATAAAGATGTTAACAATAAAGCAAACGCTAAAGAATACCTCAATAACGTTTAAAAACTAGAAACTATGTAAAGCATGGTTAAAAATACTGGCTTTCTGTCATGCCCCACCAATCACTTAAGGATTCCTATTTGTTTTTGATGCTGCTGGGTAAAATTACATAAGAAGAAAGGGTTTGACAACTTTAAAATGTTTAAAACTGTATTAAATTACTCAAAACATGATTATCTGTCCAGCCTCACAGTTTTCTAATATCTTTTTATACAAAAGTCGAGGGAAAAGGTCAAAGTACTTCATAATGTCAGATGTGGCACAAGAGGTCACAGATGCCTCTGCCACCTTCTTCCTGGCTCCCCACAATCTCAGAAAAAGCTAGGATATTATTTGGGCAGTAGGTAGCATTACCGCATTCTCAAAAAAGTCTACATTCTGCATGTTTTTCTTCTATGTGGTCCACTGCTAAGGGCTACTCTAATCTAGCCATCCTAACATGTGGTTGATGAGGTCAAGGTTGGCTGAACAGATTGAAAATTATATAGCTGGCCCTCCATATCTGTGGGTTCCACATCTGTGGATTCAACCAACCACGGATCAAAAATATTCAGGGAAATAGTTGCATCTGTACTGAATGCGCACAAACATTTTTTCCTCATTATTACCTTAAACAATACAGTATCACAATTATTACACAGCATTTACAATGTAGTAGGTGTAAATTTCAAGTACTATACAGGAGAATATGCTTAGGTTATTTTATGCAAATACTACACCATTTTATATAAGGGATTTGAGCATCTGTAGATTTTTGTATCCTCAGGGGTTCCTGCAACGAATCCCCCAGATACTAAGGGATGGATACTGAGGGAAGACTGTACGTAAGCATAGAGCATTGCTAGAACCACTACCATGATCTATGTATGTTTTATACACATCACACACACAAACACATACACACACAAAATGAAATTAACAAGACTCAAAGCAACATTATTAACAATTTATTCTAAGTGACATAGAGTATTTTCCATCTATCCTATACAATCTCGTCATCTAAAAACAGCCCTCCAGAGGGTATGATCTTACTGCTTGAACTGCCTGGTCAAAAGGACTGATGTCATAATAAAATCAAACCTAAAAGAGGAAAAAAATAAATCAAAGACAGGATCCTTTTGAAGTTTTTCATTTTAACTATCAAGAGTTTTATAAAGTTCTCTGCAGAAGATCTGATAATGCCAGGATCTTTTCCTTCCATTCCCATGCCTAATACTTAAACCTAGCTTCATTAAAATGTGATTTAAAAGCCTAATTCAGATATAAAGATTATTTATGAAATGAAAAAAAAGATACTACTTAAATAAAAAGTTATCAACCATAGAACTAACTGAGGAAAACATGGAACTCAATTTACAGATGGAGATGAACTTTCCTAATATATGAAGGCTCTTTGGAATCAGTAAGGAAAAGACCAAGAGTCTCGACAGGAAAATGTGTAAAAGATAAACAGTACGCTGATAAGGAAATACCATAAGTGCCTCTCAAGCATTGAAAAAACACTCAATCTCACTCATAATAAAAGGAATGCAAATTAAAACTACACTGAGATCAATTTCATATCTATTAGATTGGCAATGATCAAAACATTTGAGAACATAATCTTGATGAAGACATGGAAAAAGTCTCCTATTGCTGGTGGGAGTACAGATCAAAACAACCTCTGTATTAGTTTTTCTCATTTGAAGAAATCCTTGTAAGATGTTTAAAAATGTAGCAAGTAAGGTACATTTAGCCTGGTGTGGGCTGTTGGTCATATTCAAAAAAGTGTTACAGTTTTCTACTTTTATAGAATTTTGTTCACATGATGAAGCAGACAGGTAGGCCACTTTTAAAAACTTGGATGACTGGTCAGGCGTAGTGGCTCATGCTTGTAATCCCAGCACTTTGGGAGGCTGAGGCGGGTGAATCATTTGAGGTCAGGAGTTCAAAACCAGCCTGGCCAATATGGTAAAACCCCATCTCTACTAAAAATACAAAAAATTAGCTGGGTGGTGTGGTGCATGCCTGTAATCCCAGCCACTCAGGAGGCTGAGGTGGGAGAATAGCTTGAACCCGGGAGGTGGAGGGTGCAGTGAGCCAAGATCACACCATTGTACTCCAGCCTGGGCAACAGAGGGAGACTCCATTTCAAACAACAAAATAAAACAAAACAAAAAAAACTCGGATGATTAAGAGAGTAGTCTTGCTCCATCTGCTGCTCACCTCTTGATACCTTATTGTGCACTTAATGGGTGCTCAATAAATATTTGTTGAGTTGAATGAAACTAAGAATAATGTGAAGGATGATGAAAATGGAATAAAAACGAGTAAGAATAAGGAATTAGCTAAATTTATCTGAACTGTTGAATAAATTGCTTACATAATCACTACTTTAAGAAAGGAGCAATGCCACGGTGGCACATGCTTCCTGAAAAATGAGTTAGCCAGCAACAGCTGGATAATAGATTGTTGCAGTAATGGCCCCCTAATTAACTCCACTCCGTTAAGAAACCCCTCCCATACCTACTGTGGAATTGGCCATGTTGATCTGCTTTGGCCTATGGACAACAGAAAATATATGAGGTTTGCCATCACTAGTTACTTCTATAAACCTTACTACTGCCTCCAGGTGAAAGAGCCATGCCTAGCCTGCTGGAGACACATGGCCCCCATCACCCAAGCCAACAACCAGTATGAATTATCCAGACATAGCTATCCTAGACCAACCAGCTCCCAGCTGACCCATCAGCTGACTGTGGCCACATCAACAAGGCCAGACATAGCTGCAGCAGAATCGCTTAACTGAGCCCAGCCCAGAATCAGGCTAACAAATGCCTATTGTTTCACAGCACTATGTTTTGGGGAGGTTTATCATACAGCAAAAGCTGATCTAAGTAGAGAGGGGAATAGGTGGTCAAAGAAGATTTTTCCCTTACCTGTTCTGCTTTCTATATTTCACAATGAGAATATATCTACATACTATTTAATTACACTGAACTTATAAAAATTGCATATCGGATTGATATTAAAATTCTACTATCACCTTGTAAACACATATACATTAATTCAGTCCAAATGGGAGCACGAATTTGAGAGGAGACATTAATATTGTGTCAGAAAAAAAATGGGTTAATAGAGTACCAGGGTTTACTATAACACACACACACACACACACACACGAATGTGAATAAGAGTATATTCACGGTCACTGTCACATCTCAATAATGGTTATTATCAAATTCTGGAAGTGTTAGAAGACACTCATCTCAGATTTTGCTTCACTCTTTCTTCTGTTTAAGTGGGTAATGGCCTAATACACATTTTCTCATTTAATCCTCATATGGTATGAGGTAAACATTACGCTACAACACTTTAGGCAAATTAACCTCTCTATGCCTCATTTCCTCAACTGTAAAATGGGGATAACAGTTCTATTTTACAGAACTGTTGTGAAAACTAAATAGCTTAGAACAGGGCACACAGTCCTTACTCAATAAATGGTTTACCACCTCTTTTAGTAAAATGATGTAAAATTAAGGTCTTTTAACTATAATAACATGACTTCTATTTTCAAAACATTAGGCATTATCAACTAAGGTGTGAGACATCATAATTAATCTGGATACCTTTCTAACGACTTCATTTAAAAATTAAAAGACATGCCGGGGTGTGGTGATGGCTCACGCCTGTAATCCCAGAACTTTGGGAGGCCGAGGTGGGCAGATTACCTGAGGTCAGGAGTTTGAAACCAGCCTGACCAACATGGTGAAATTTCATCTCTACTAAAAACACAAAAATTAGCCAGATGTGGTGGCACGTGGCTGTAATTCCAGCTACTTGAGAGGCTGAGGCAGGAGAATCATTTGAACTTGGGAAGTGGAGGTTGCACGGAGCTGAGATTGCGCCTCTACACTCCAGCGTGGGTGACAGAGTGAGACTTCATCTCAAAAAAAAAAAAAAAAAAAAATTAAAAGACAATGTTATTAAACAAAACCTAGGAATGTATGTAGAAAATACATGGTGATGAGAGGTGAAGCTCTGGGCAATAATAAATCATTTAGTCCACATTCCACAATCCTAAGTAGGTTTAAAATACAAAGGCTTCCATTTTTGTGTGTGTTACAAATTCACAAGAAGAGAGCAATAAATCCTATTGAAATGTCACTTTTACTGTGACATCTAGCATACGTACTTTCAACATGTTCAATCTTTTTTTTTTTTTTTTTTTAAGGCAATACTGATGGCTTTGGAAAATAAGGTTCTTTTCAGGCCCTGATGGACCACTTATAAAATATAGCCACATTTTTAAAAAGTGTTTTTAAACAGGCAATTACCTAACCTGTAGATATGTAAAAAGTCTCACACCACAATGTGCAGATGTTTTAGTTTCTCCCAATGTGAGGAAAAATTCCATCTTTCATTTCAATTCAAACATTTTAAAGAGCATTCAGTATATGAGGTAATGTAGCAGATTCTGGAGATAAGACAGGTAAAGTAACATAAGTAACATTTATGTTACTATATATGCCAGACATTTGCTGGTTATCTTATTCAATCATAATAACGCTGTGCTGTAGAAATTATTAAAACTCACTTTACAGAGGAGGAAATTAATGCTAACATAAGTATAATAACTTGCTCAGGACCTCTCAGCAACAGAAGGCAGTGGGGTTGAGAAGTATGAGGTGGGGCCCATGAAGATAGCGCCACATGACTATTCTTAGAGACAAACACAATATTCATTGTAATAGATCGTTTAACAGCAATGTGGAAGGGGACGAAGACTTGGAAAACCAAGGAGATAATCTTTGGGAATGGGCAAAGGAGTCACAGAAGACTTTAGAGGTTGATATTTAAGTTGTTACTTAAGGATGAGTAGGATTTACCAACTTCAATGCCAAGGCTCACCCCCACCCCCCTCACCCCCAATATATTAACCAAAATAAATTACTTACTTGAAATTGAGAAAAACAATTTTGAGAGAAATCTTCCTCAGATATATTATTCCATAGTTTTAAAACAAATAATATGATGACAGTTTAATTTTTAAGTTGCTTTTATGTGGCTTGTCTTGGGTTTTATTCTGAAATGAAATTTAGATTAGTCATTTTCTTGTTCTGAGAAACTAGGAGTATGCCAACATGTTTTAACTGTACATTTTTCACATATCAACATGTATTCTTATTTACAAAGTCTTTCATTTCACCATCTCAAACAAAACCTAATTTAGTATATAAATTACTTCGAAGTATAAAAATATATATGCAAAACAATATATTTATTTTAATTCTTGTTATACTTCCTTGGTAATTGTAATAAATGGAAGAAAAATAGAAATCTTGTGAACTGTTATATATTACACAAGGCATTTTTGAGGTAACACACTTTCTTTTACTATTTGAATTGTTTATATAGTAATGATCTTTGAACCCAAAGAAAATTAAATAACTGCCCCAAAGTAAATTGAGCTCAAATTCTTAGTATTTCCCAAAACTATCATCCAAAAAGAAAACAGAATTGGCCAAAAAAAAAAAAAAAAAAAAAACCACGAAATTTTCCATTGACAATTACTACTCATTTTTCTCAGAATTTACTTTGCTAGGCGTGTATTCAATTTCTGCTACAGAAAACAGTCCAGTTTACCAATCCTAATTAAGCAACAAAGTATTTTTCATTTATAAAATGAAATATTTAAAAACCTACAGAGAGCTGGAAGAAACACAAGATCATCTGGAAAACTTAGAAGAAATGACAGAACACACACACACACCCCAAACAAAAACACTAAAAAGGTTAAATAGGCTGTCATTAAGAGGGTCTTACTTTTACTTACTTTTACTTATAATACTTATGTTTGGACAGTAGACAGAGTTCTTTCTAATTGCCTAAGACACTCATTCCTGCCTTATCTGTATTTACATGGAAATTACAAGTTAACACAATTTCACCCAAAGTTCACTGTTCCTTAACTCCCATTATTTCCTCTTATTATCACTATGATGTTAAAATGGCAGCAAGATACCAAAGTGACATACCCCATACCACAGCCCATTTCTCACTTTATAAGTAAGTTATATTTCTTTGAAATATCCAGCGCCAATGACAATATCCTCTAAAACCTACTTTAACCCAACCTATTTAAACTTGAATCATTTTTCACTTAGATTATCTTTTCTTTTTTTTTTTTTCTTAAAGAGATAGGGTCTTGCCATGTTGCCCAGACTGGTCTCAAACTCCTGGGCTCAGGCAATCTTCCTGCCTCTGCCTCCCAAAGTGCTGGGATTATAGGTGCCCAGCCCTAGATTATCTTTAATTCAGTGAATTCTAATCCAATCAAAATCAAGATGAGAGAATATTTAATTATAGCACCAGAGGAACTTGAAAGGTTTCATATATTCCCTCCTTCCTTTTTTGGAAATTGCATACATACAATTTTAGTATCAATTTTTGTTTATGTTTGCCCTAAACTCCTTTTGCTGTAATCTTGTTTTCTTAAAGATGCAGCCAAATAATCATAAAACAAATCCTACCATAATCTATTCTAGATTATAGATTAATATTATTATATATAATAATATATATTACATATTATTATATAAGAAGATTCTAAGCACTATTAGACACCGTAGGGTCTCAAAGATTTCTGAACTACATATGTGCAGTTCTTTTAATAATTCCTCTGAGGTTCTGTATTTTTGTCTTTCAATTATTATCAATGCCTTCCTCCAACATTCCCTCATGTTTTGCGGGGAGAGGAGGTCAGTGTGAGGAGATGAGAGCTGAAGAGTCAAGATCCAAGATCCCCCATTTTCAAATCCAGCCTCACACCAACCAACACTAGGACACTGGACAAATCCCTGAGCCTGCTATGTAGACTTGTTTTCTTTATGTAAAACGAGTACATTTGACTAGAATGATGTTTCTCACCCCTTTTAACACTGCAAATAAAACTTGTTAGCAAAAAATTTTTTAGCACACTGCGACAACAGGAGGGCATCTGGAGGCATTTACATAGTGCCTGGTGAAAAAAATTATATTTTCTAAGTACAGAAGATAAAATTTAAAGTATTATGGTAGATATTTTTTGACATATGTAATGCTGAAAATTTTAATATGCATTTCAAAACCAAACTTTTTCCCATCAAGAATATTTCAAAATTAAAATCATGCTTTATTTCTGACATACATGCACTATTAGGCAGTCACCTTGCAGAGCACATCAAACGCATATGATGAGCAGCATCCAATACAGGTGAATACAGATAGTGAGGCCTGGCGCTGGGCCACCAGGGACACCCTCCCTGCTTCCTTGTCCTCTCACTGTAAGTGGGTTGCACCTTGTGGTAGGTGGCATGTTCCTTTGGCACCGTGAATACAAACTCCAGTAACAATTCCATGATCCCTTTCCCACAAGAGGCAGCTGTACACTGTGGCTGGCTGCTGAAGTAGATTCCAAGTAGTAAGGCACACCTCATTTAATGCACTTAAAATATCAAAAGGAGCAGTAACTGCTGGTTGTCACTCACCATGCTATCTGTTCACAGGAACCCCAATGCCTTCCTTCAGCCCCCATTCCACTAGGACTACCCTTCTGTGAGCCATGTAACAGCAACTGAAAACTTTGAATTAGAAGATTTCTAACAATACCTAAAGTTAAAAACAGTATTGCAGTAATCATTCGTTTGTAACAACTATTATGGTCTTTTATTTTTAATTTCTTACCAATTCCTGTAAGCAAAACATAGCTTAAAAATATTAACTTTGAATAGTATTACATGCACGTGATTTTAAAATACTGAAAAATTACCAAACTGTGTACTTAAAAAGTTAGTCCACCTTTGTCCTCTAGGCAACCACTTCTACACACTGGAGGCAACTACTGTCATCAGACTCTCCCGTATCCTCCCATGCACATTACATTCTATATCTGCCCATATATATATATATATATATATATGGATTTTATTATAATAAAGAATTTTATTCTAATACATAGGCATATATAGTATACAAAAAATACATATTTTAACCACAATAATGGCAGCAAACTGCCCACGCAGTCATGCCTCTTGCTTTTTTTCCTCGTATCTTAGACATGGCACCACAGCAGTACACATAATATTCTCTCATTACTTTTAACGGCTGACTAGTATTTTGTAGAATACATATACCATAATTCACCCAACTACTTCCCTACTGATATATGTTTAGCTTGGTTCCAATCTTTTGCAGTAACAAATAATGCTGCCACAAATATTCTTACATATTTATTTGACATATATGCAAAATCTTCTAGAGAATAAAATCCTATAATGGAATTACTAGAACAAAATATATCTGTGTTTTAAATTTTGGAAACCATTTTCAAACTGCTTTCTATAGAATATGAACACTTTATAATCCCACCAGCAATGTATGAGGCTGACCATTTTCTCTTCGTCTCACCCTTCCCGAGTTACACTATACATAACTTTTGCTCATTTGATAGGTGACAAAGAGTATGTTGAAGCTTTAATTTACATCTTTATTATATTATAAATAAAATTATACATCTTTTCATATGAATTCTCTTTGCTAATTTTTCTACTGGATTATTTTCTAGTTCTTTGTATTAAGAGGAACTTAGCCCTTTGTGAAGTCTACAAATAAGTTTTACTAGTCTGTTTCTCTTTGTTTGATTTTTTCCCCTATACAGAATTTTATTTTTATGTCCTAAAATCCAGCAATCTAGTATGCTATTAAAGGACTTCACCAATCCTGGATTATGTAAAAAATAATTGCCCTACATTTTTTGTTTCGTTGTTTCATATTTAAATCTTTAACTCCTCTGGAAGCCAACATTATTTTTCCAGATGACTAACTGGCTATCCCAACACTGTTTATTAAATAATTATTCTTTTCCCTACTCATAAATGAAGGTGGGATCCATTTTCATATACAAGTTGAATATCTCTTATCTAAAATGCTTGGGACCAGAAGTGTTTCAGATTTTTTCAGATTTTAGAATATTTGCAAATACATGAGATATCCTGAGGATGGGACCAAACCTGAATGTAATTTTATATAATTTTAAATAATGTTACACATGAAACAAAGTTGTTTTGGTTGTTTTTGAAACAGGAACTTGCTCTGTCACCCAGGCTAGAATGCAGTCGTACAATCATGACTCACTGCAGACTTCACCTCCCGGGCTCAAGCGATCCTCCTGCCTCAGCCTCCTGGAACCACAAACGTGTACCACCCTGCCTGGCTAATTTTTGTATTTTTTTGTAGAGATAGGGTCTTTCCATGTTGCCTAGGCTGGTCTCGAATTCCTGGGCTCAAGCAATCCTCCTACCTTAGCCTCCCAAAGTATTGAGATTACAGACATGAGCCACTGCATCCAGCCTGAAACAAAGTTTTGACTGCGACCCCCCATCACAACAAGGTCAGGTGTGGAATTTTCTACTTGTGGCATCCTGTTGGTGCTCAAAACATTTCAGATTTTGAAGGATTTCAGATTATGGAGTTTTGGATAAGGGATGCTCAACCTGTATTAAGTTCTCATATATATTTGAGTTAATTCTAGTCTTTACTCTGTTTTAGTGCTGTCATGTGCCAAAACCATGTTACTTTTCAAAACATTTTAAAATTAAAAGTACTTTACATACAAGTAAGAATAATAAAACCAGAAATTACTGGCTTGCTTTAATATATGAATCATTTTGCAGTTCCTAAATGCAATTTATATAATTAAGTTCAATATAATCATCATGCAATCATACATTTTGGTTGACACATGTTTTGGAGACCATTACGAATCTCATGTCTCTTACTACATTTCTGGAACCATATCTAGAAAACCAATTTTTCCTTAATTTTGCACATGGATTTTTTAAAATTATAAAATCAGTACATGTTCTCTGTAAAAAATCTGAAAATATAAAACATACCTTCCAGAGATAACCAACTTTTATACTTTGGTGTATCTTTTTCCACACTTTTAATAAGTGACTATTTTGTAAACTAATTTTTTTCACATAATACAATGACAGCACTTTCCCATGTTATTACACATACTTCTAAAACATGTCTTAAACACGTCCTCCCAAATGAATATACCCAGTTTATGTAACCATTTACCAATTGTTGAACATTTAGAGTTGTTCTCTGTGATGATTATCATCTATTTATTAATCATTGCAACAAATGAGTTGCAAGAATTAATAGATGAGTTTCAAGCACTGTGGTAAACATTAACTCTATAATGGTGAGGAAAAAGAAACACATTATCAGGATTTCTGGAGCTTACAATCTATTTGGAAAAACATGTTAATCTCTAAGACATAAAATTACAATGACAGCAAGTGCTATGAGAAGAGTTCATGGTGCTTTGAGAGTCTATGATAGGGAAGGCTTCCCTGAGGAAAGATAAACCGAAGTTTAGGTGAAAGACAAGTAAAAACATTCTAGGCAGGGGCAACGGCAGGTACCAAGCCCTCACTGTGGGAAGGAGCATGGCAAGAACAAGGGACTGAGATAAGGCCAACATGGCTGGAACAAAAAGAGTAAGTCAAGAACATGGCTCAAGTCATGACTAGACAGAAAGGTAATGGCCAGACTATGCAAGACCTTGTAAGACAGGTAGATGCCACCATATAAGACACAGAGTTTTGTCCATATCCTGAATGCAATGGAAAGTTACTGAAGCATATCAAACAGTAGGGTGATGTAATCAGGTTTGCATTTTTAAAAGATCCCTCTGATTACAGGAAACAGATCAGAAGGGGAAAAAGTAGATTGGGATAAACCAAGATTAGGAGGCTACTGTACTAAACTTGACCAAAAATGCTAGTAGTTTAGGGTGGTGATGATTATGAAAAGAAGCAGATGGATTCAAAAGACAATCAGATTTGCCAAAAGATTTATGTTCATAGATTAAAATCCCTAAAACTATAATTATTGGGTCAAAAAAGAACATTTCAAGGATTCTAATACACATTGCCAAACCGCCCTGCAAAGAGCAGTTTTCTTAATCTCTCAATTACCTTGTAGCTGTTCCTCTATCTGAAATTTTAAGTTCCTTAAAAATTCCTTTAACATGACTAATCCGTATTTCCTTCACGAAGTCTTCCCTGACTCCCCTTTTTGCCTGGATATAGAATGTGTCTCCCACTGAATCCTTGCTCTGTCTTACACACATTTCTATAGTCCAGTCATACTGCATTTGACTTAAGTTTACATGCCCATCATCTCTACTACACTGTGAGCTTCTGGAGGGTAAAGCTGTTCTTAAGGCACTTAAAGCTAAAATAACTTGCTACTCAGGGCTTCAAATACACGCTAAAAAAAGTGACCAATTTGTTTGTGATGAGTCATCAAATCTCCATAGTGTTCCTGAAAATTTCTCCAATAATTGTAATCAAATAGGTGTTATACGATCTTAAAATATTTTTAAATAACTTAGTAAAAAACAAAGTATGAACAAAGCAGATTCTAGTACAGAAATTTTTGAACCTGAGTTGTTGATACACGCTAGTTTTTTAAATTATTCTTATTGCAAATGTAACTCCAATTTACCAAAAAAAAAAAAAAAAAGGTTATTCTGGTAGTTTCTTATATTTAACTTTATAAAATATAAACAATGAGAATATATTTATAATTTGAATAAGCATCTACGTAAACTTACGTAGCATTTCAGAATTATCAATTTCTTATGTTGAAAAGTTTGATTTCATGGCTAACAGCATCTAGAATGATCTATCAAAATCTTCTCTAAGCTAGAGGAAGTGGCAGAGTTCCTTAGAGTAATCTTAAAGACAAGCAGCTCCCTCTATAGTCTGTCTGGCCTACTTTGTTTAATTACTTGCTTTGTGAACATCTCCCATTCTTCTATTTACTCCTACTCTGCATCTCAGCAGGGAAGCTCTTTGAAAGGATAGTTCTGTTTAACCTGGTGCTGAGGAAACTGTGAGAGCTGTCTAAACTCCGCATGAAGTGAGTTACATCAAGCAACTAAGCAAGAGTAGAGATGTGGAAAATGGACAGCTTCCCAAGTCTACCTAAGTCGAATCCTCAAATGAAGCCTGATGATTTTATCTGTAGTGAATTCTCTAAGTGGTCACACCTATATTCAAATCTAAATGAAAAAACATTGTCCTATACTTTATTCATAACCTTTCATCCCTCCATTAATACGTTACCAAAATGTTGTTATAAAAGAAAAAGTTAACAATTTCTTCTGTAAATGATATTGCTCAATTTGATTATGTCAAAATAATGTTCAAGACATTTAAAAAACTAGTTAAAGAAATGGAGAGGAAGTTTGCTTTTGTTTTTTAAAAAATTCCATAACTCAGATGAAGAAACTTTACATGATTCCCTTAGGAATCAATATCCTCAGTTGGCAAGGGATTAAATCACTCAGGATTTACCATTCAAATCTGAATATCCCACTTTTTTTTTTTTTTTTTTTTAAAGGCAGGGTCTGGCTCTGTTGCCCAGGCTGGAGTGCGGGGGCGGGATCTTGGTTCATTGCAGCCTCAACCTTCTGGGCTCAAGCAATTCTCCTGTCTCAGCTTCCCAAATAGCTAGTACTACAGGTGCACACCACCACGCCCAGCCAATTTTTGTTTCTTTGTCTGTTCGTTTTGTAGAGACTATGTTGCCCAGGCTGGTCTCCCACTCCTGGGTTCAAGGGATCCTCCTCCCTCTGCCTTCCAAAGTGTTGGGATTAGTGGCATGAGCCACAGCACCCAGCCCTGAATATCCCTCTTTTTAAAAATACCTTTTCAAATTTCACCAACTTAAGACATGGGAGTTTTTAAACCCAAAACACTTTATTTCTTAAATTACTCAAGATACGTCCTCAAAACACAGAACAATCAAAAGTCAACTGGACTGTTTTCTAAAGCAGAAAAATGCTTTTCATGCAATAATGGAAAAA